TTYSGGGCTGCGCCTTTTGGTGATTAGATCTTTTTTTAATCAAATGAGAAAAGACGAAAATGTGGGCTGCCAGACTTCTAAAAAGCCAACAACTCACACGTAAAAAGACACGCCAAATGGGGTCCAAATTAACCTTAATTAAATACATAATGCACCTAATCGACTACTCAACTTAACTTTCTGTTTATTATTATTATTATTATTATTATTATTATTATTATTATTATTATTCCATTGATAATTTTCTTTTCATTTTTAATTTAATTTTAATTAAACTTCCCATGCATCGCAAGGGACCTACTATTTTTATTTATTTATTTGCTTATTTTGGTAAGAAGGGCCCTACTAGTTTGTAGGCATAAAACCATTGGAATGCATTTTTCTATTGAGGGAATATACTAGATTTTGGAGGTCAAGAATTGTGGACGCTTTTATGATTAAGGAGAATTGTGCACCTATTTGGCTATTGCTCAATGCCATTATTGCAATATTATGGACCAACAACTAAAAGTAACCCGTTCTCTGATATTCCCTGTATATTTGACAAATTGCTCAATGCCATTATTGCAATACTAGTTACAAAACTTTAGTTAATTTGCCATTATTGCAATATTAGTTAATTCAGTGTCAATACGCAAGTAACAAAACTTTCTTAAATTAAAAATATCTCATGTTACACTATGATATAGTATTGACACTGAATTAACTAAAGTGAATTCTCAGATTCCAGAGAATATCAGAGAATTCCAGAGAATCTTCAAGGTAGGCATTGCCCCATACAATCTAAATCATGAATTTCAGAGAATATCATTCTACGATAGCTTACTTACAAAACCAAACTAAATAAGTTTATATGTAGAGAAATGTAATGGGGCAAAGCCCCTATTTTGAAGTATAGAAGAAGAAGGGCGGAGCCCCTGTTTTAACATCCGACAATGAAATTTCTGTCTAAGACTGTAATCCACCTCAGTTAAACTTATTATAGAACCTGAACCGAATCTACAATTTTAATTGCAAAACTGAACTATTTGGACATCTAGACCCTTTGGCATCCAGAAAAAGAAGGGTGGAGACCCTGTTTTGACGTCCAAAAGACAAGGAAAACATTGTCTATGACTCACATTAGTCGACCTATTACAAAACGAATCCCCTATGGAGCTTGATTGTTGAAAAACCCAAACAAAGATTTGAAAGAAAAGATGGAGTGGGGCTTGATTGTTGGATTAGAATGATAGAATGGGATGATAGTTTGAGAGCAAACCGAGCTTATTGTGGAGCTTGATCGTTGGAATAGGATGATAGAAAATGGGAAACGATGATAGCTCAAGACCAAATCGAGTTTCCAAACGTCTCTTACATGTCATTGGACTTCATTGTTATAAGGTGGATTTAAAAAAAAAAAATCAAAATTCTGAAAAATTAGGAAAGCGATGAGTGTGGAAGGAGAGACATGCTGACATGTTGTGGGATGTTGAGATGTTGAGACTCTTGGTTAAAAGAAAAGGCATGTTGTGGGAGATGTTTTTTGAAAGTCTAATACAGATGGGAGGCTTTCAATGGTGGCCTTCCCTCTTTAATATTGCTAGAAGACACCTCGTTAAAACAAAATAGCCGCCCTCTTTCATGCATTGTTTGGAAAATCAAACGACTCATAAAGGGTAATTGAAAAGTAAAAAAAAAAAATCAGAAAAAGATAGAAAAGTATAAAAAAAAAGAAAATAAATAAATACCTTTGCTGAAAGGAGAGGCCTACTGACGTGGATTGTCTAATTTTATCTTATATAGATAGATATATAGATGGATGTACCAGAGTGATGTAATAGAAGTAAAACAAATGCTTCTAAAGAAAAGCAAGAATTTTGCTTTTGTCTTTATTAGAAAAGGGAACTTCCATGACTATGAAAGAGAAAGCAAGGCTTTGCAAAATCATTGAGTTCTACATGAATAAATAATTTCCCTACCTTTTTCAATGAAAAGGGAAAGAAGCAATTCTTCGTACAAACAGACAAACAGTCAGCAAGGCCTAACCTTCAGCCAGAAATGTATGAAACAAAACAGAAGAACCTCATTTGCACGATGAAATTACCATCACCCATATATATAGGAAGGTGGTTAAGAAAGAAAATCGACCATATCCTCCTTGAACACAGAAAATAATATTTTCACGGTTTCACCTAACGTCGCCGCAGATCCCGACGGAAAACAGAAAACTGATCAAAAGATAGAAACTGTGATTGAGTTCTTTTTTATCAGTATAGCAGAGTTTTCAATTTCAACCTCATTATCTAAAATAGGAGCTAAGATATATGAAGTTCCTAGAAACAAATGAACTGTTATAATGGCAATTCGACAAAAGAAACAACCGGAGCTAAGATATATTTGTCTATGTACTTTTACTGTTTTACATAGACAAATATTTATACTAAAAACAAACGCAGCCTAAGGTTTTTTTTTTCCTTTAATTTTTGAAGCCATCAACTTAAGGGTATGATCTCAAATTAACTTAACTGACCTAATTAATTACGTAGTAAGCATAATTACCTTAATTAATTTCCATAATGGGCCTAATTAACTTAATATAACTAACCTAATCACATTGATTAATTAATCTTATTACCCTAATCAACTCACATAATTTACCCTAATTGAGACGATTAAACTAATTATCCTCAATTGACTCAATTAACATAGCAAAGTTAATTAATCTAGCGGCTGTTTGGCATAGTTGCCATTTTCTAGAGCAACGATGCCACATCAGCGCTATTATCGGAAAAAATGGTGTTCCAGGAAATGGACATTTGTTTAAAATCGTTTTTTTCCATAAAAAACGGTGCTCCAAGCCACACCAAAATTGACATTATGTAGCACTGGATAATAGGTACCAGTGTTGAAAATGTTTCCTGGAATAATAGTACCAAACAAAAAAAGCCGTTGCTCCAAGAAACGTCCTATCAGGCAGTAATGATTCCAAACAAAAATAAAGGCACCATATTCTCAGAAAACGACGCTACATCTGCAGCATCGATGCCAAACATATACTTAGGTGTCGCTTGACAAGTCTTTTTTGAAAAATCTTCTAGAAGATTTAACAACCAATAAACAATGTGAGCTTTTGCATAAAGATCTTAGCAGCCTATAAACTATTTGGTGGAGGTGCGTCTTTCCACACGAAGACGAGGCAAAAAAAAGTGAAAAGCTCTATTTGAAGTCTCCCGAAAATAGACTGAAATGGGCTTCTTGCATCTTTTTGAGGTTGCACCTTTTGACAACTAAATCTTTTCCCAACCAAATGGGAAAAGACAAAAACACGAGCTGCCAGGCTTCTAAAAATCTGATAGACCACATGAAAAGGCACATCAAACGAGACCCTAGTTAACCTTAATTAAACACATAATGCGACTAATCAACTTATTATTATTATTATTTTTTTTAATTAAAATTTTCCATACATCACAAGGGCCCTACTAGTTTGTAGTTATAAAACCATTGGAATGCTTTTTCCTATTGAGGGAAATATATTAGATTTTGGAGGTCAAGAATTGTGGACGTTTTTCTGATTAAGGAGAATTGTGTACCTATTTCGATATTGCCCAATGCCATTATTGCAATATTATGTTCGCATTTTTGTGAGCTATAGACCAACAACGAAAACAAAGCCCCAGGTCAGAATTTTTAGGCCTAAAGTACAGGTGGGGTGGGTGTCAGTTCGGAAATGATGCCAATTTTGACAGGCATTAGTGTGTAGAATGGAAGTTTTTGACATTTTGAATGTTTGAATATTTATAGCTCTGTAGTGGAAATCAGAAATCTGCATTGGGTCTGTCCATACTTCTCCTCAAAACTAACATATTCCATTGTCACACAC